CTGAATCCCCATTTCAGGCCCCACTATTATCATACCTTTTCCCATACCCCCTCCTCATGGTTCCTGCAGTCACTGACTCTCCTCAGACAGGGGTTTCTCCAAAAAACAACCTTCCTACAGCTGCAAACATACCTCCAAAAGCATCTCGCGGGATAGAAAGTTCCTTACTTACAGATAACCACCATACTACTACCGGTGGTAGGCAAAGTGGGCTCTATTTTGAAGATAGGGAAACCGAGGCATGAATTTAAATGATCTGCCAGTCTGAAGGTGTGTGGCAGAGTCCAGTTTGACACATGGGGAGAAAGATAAGCAAGAACCCACTGATTTAGTGCAGCCATCCAATCTCTATGATATGAATTAATATTAATGTAGGGGAGGGGAACAGCCTGGTTCCTTCTGACTGAATGTTCCAGCTACTCAGTTATGACTATGATAAATGACATCACTGATTTCAAGGAGCTTTGTGAGGAAGCAATGTCCAATTTCTTTCTGCAGTTGCAAATAAGCTGTGTTTCACTGAGGAAGAGCCAAATGCATTTTACCCATCACAAAAAGCAACAACTCTGAAGCATTAAAGGCAAGCAATGTAAGCCAGAATAATTTACACACAGAACGCCATCACAGGCAAATGCAGATCCTTGGCTTTCACTTATCTGTGCCTAACTAAGATGCATTTTTCTCTGAAGGGCTGGATGTTAAAATGTGTAGCAGATATAATAAGGTATAAAATACAGCCCGACTGACATCCTTGTCTATCCTACTGTGTGTGAGGGGCAACCTGTACCCCTACTCCTATTTATTTTGTCACTGACCTTCATTATGCAGACATCCAGCAGTCCAATGAAGAAGGAGCTGCAATGAAGGCCCAAAGACCTCCTCAGGAAAGCAGACAGTGTTCCCATTGAGACTCTTTGGGGAAGGAAACTGGCATTTCTGAAGCTCAGCCAGTTTCTGGCAGTATCTGAAACAAGTTATCAGTCAAATATACCAAGCTATAGAGACACCCACGATAACTTTAATCATCATCTATTTGTGTATTATTTAATAAGTGTTTTCACTAAGAAGCAGTTCTCCTAAACCCAGGAGCTTATGGGTCACTGGTTTTGGCAGCAACTGCAGTCAAATGGGTACATCTCATACCTCCTGGAATGCTATTAAATGCTAAAGGAATCACATAATACTATCCTAAGTGTCTTCAGTAGTTCTCCTGTCCTAGTTCTCCTTTATGTTGAGCTGAGCTGCAGAAATGGAATTCCTAATGTGTCTCCTGTGTTAGAATAAAGGCAGTAGGGAAGGCAGGAAGAGACTCAGGGGAGGAGAAAACAGTATTTCCCTTTTACACAGTCAGCTTGGAACAGATATAATGAAAACTCTGAATCACAGAATGGTTTGGACTGGAAGGGACCTTAAAGACCCAACCCCCCCTGCGATGGGCAGGGACACCTTCCATTAGACCAGGTTGCTCAAGGTTGCTCATATTCTTGGACACTTGGTAAAGCAGAATATGTATTAATGGTTGTGGCAAAATGGCCTAAGGCACCCACCCGTTCTGCAATAATGCCTTTCAAATGGGACTCAGCTCACTGCAGGGAAAGACTTCTGTAGTCTTTGTAGTGATTTATATCTGAGTTAGCGGTGTAGACAAGATTTTTAACCAGTGGAGAGAAACACACTCTTCTGTGCCAGGTTTCATCTCATCCTGAGAGGATGGAGAAGATTGCGTGATTCACACCTTAAAAAAGGTTATTTCTCTCCACCAATAATACAAGGACACTTAGACAACCAATTCAGAGAAGGTCACTGCAGACCTCCAAAATCCAGAATGATGAAGTTTACCTTGACATCATGAATTCAAAATCCATCAGTCACTGGTAAAATTCATATCGTCTCAGGATGATAGTCTTCTCCTTCACTACCCATTATTATTCCACCCCATCCAAAGGCAACTAGATCATTTACACACACATATACATATGCATACACAGAGGCTCCATTCACTCTCAATCTTTACTTTGCAAAGTTATGCTTCCTTTCAGATAAAGATGAGAAGAACCTGAAAAAGATAAATCACCCAAATTGAGATGCGCTGTACAATCACTCTCACGACCCTCTTTCACTTGCACATTTCCTTTCCTTCTCTTGGAAATTCCTCTTCAAAGCTTGAATCTTATGACTTTTCTCTCTTCACTTTCTGTGCTTTTCCCCTTTTCACCTTTTCTTTTATTGGCTGTTTTTTCTTCTCCCCCTCAGTGGGCTCACTTTGAATTCAATTTCCTCAGGCCATCTCCTTTACCTTTTAGCCCTGCCTTCTTCTTTGAGTTCTCCCTCTGCCCTTTTTATTCTGAGTTCCTGGTATCCTTTATCAAGACTCTGAAAGAATTTCCCCAGGAATTTCTCCCAGTCTTATTCCTGCCTGTTACTGTTTCATAGAAGAAGAAAGAGTTAGTAAGGCTTAGTTACCCCAAATCTGTGATTCTATCTAAATTATTTGATTACTATCCTAACTGGTTTCAGTGACCTGAATACCTCTGCATCATTTACACATTTATTCTAAGCATACTTTATATCATGATGCACAGTTATAAAATACGATATAGAATCACAGAATGGTTTGGGTTAGAAGGGACCTTAAAGCTCATCCAGTTCCAATCCCACTGTCATGGGCAGGGACACTTTCCACTAGACCAGGTTGCTCAATTAATCAAATATGAAACACAGATTTCCATGGACAGAGACACTGAATCAGACATAAGGTGATCTTTATTAAGTCAACAAGCTGCTGAATAGCTAGGATATTAAAGAACACGGCACTTGTCTATGATATTAAGACCCCTCATTCTAGCTAAATGACTGAAAATATGATGAATAAGTATGAGGGGAAAAGAAGTACATATGCTGAGGGTAAAGGTTAAACCCATTCAGATCCTTTCAGGGAGTTGCTAAAGATCAGTTCTGATAAGCTAAAGCTTTCTGCTAGGAATAGGTTCCCTTTGAGCATGTAAACCTGAAATGTAAGACATGCACAGATAAAAGAACTACTCAGGTGTGCATTAGGAAAGCATTTAGAGCAAGTCTGCAAGATAAAGCAGACAGAGACCTTTCTGATTTTATCTGGGTGTAGAAGAATAAGTCTGCGTTTTATCTCTTCACTTATTTCTGTAGAAATATTCACTTCTATATAGTCCATTTAGTCTTAAGTAACCAGTTTTATTTTTGCTTTATCCAAGAGCATTCTTCTCCCAGGAATGTAACCTGAGGCACTGGGACATTTTAAGCGCTGTAAGAAAGAAAGAAGCATCTTAAAATGGCATGCTAAGCAGGAGAGCTTGACATGCAAAAAGACAAAACAGAGCACAGCTAAACCAGAAGTCTTATACAAACTTTTTAAGTGTCCTTTTAGACTCTTGTAAAGAGCCTCTTTACACCACAAACCTCCATCTCCATGCATCCCAATCCTGTCTTCAGACTCTTACTGAGCTCCCACAACTAACAACGCCTGCATGTGACATCGAAATCTCCATATCACTCTCCCCACCGTGCACTTTTTTCATTACTGAGAATTGGACCCTTTTGTTGCACAAGCTAAATCCACTGCAGAGTAATGAAGTCCTTCACACACTATTACATCTAGAGGTAAATAAGAGTATGAGGAGTGCTCTGAAGTGTGCTTCTTTCCTGCTCATCTACATCAACCCAGTTTGAGCAGAAATTCAGCTGGGAAACTAGTAAAAATATAAATGTGCCTGCACAGAGAAACATCCAGAAAATGCCAGCCTTATACTTCACAAAAAGATATAGAAGAACTTAAGAAATAGCTGCTGTACCCCCCTGATAGCCTGTGGATAACTGTCAACACAGACATCTCATGGACCACTATTCATTGGCCATATAGGATAGACACAGAATCATAGAATGGTTTGGGTTGGAAAGGACCTTAAGATCATCCAGTTCCAGCCCCCTGCCATTGTCGCCCAAGGCTCTGTCCAGCCTGGCCTTGAACACTGCCAGGGATGGAGCATTTACCACATCTTGTGAGAGGTCAGCAAGAAAAGCTCAGTGAAGACTGTTCCACCTTCTTTGGTCTCTAGAGTAAAGCAAAACACTTTGGTGCTGATCACCTCCACTAGTTCATAATCCAAATGTGAACAAACTTAACCTTCAGTGCTGATGACAATGTGTTTAGGATGACAGAACCTTTGATTTCTCAAGAATGTTTTCCATTAGATTAAAAGCAGTTGTTTCTTTTTAAGGGGAAGACAAGGCTTGGTGGTTATTAAGCTTGCATTAAGAAAAATCGAAAAAGGCATAGCAGCAAAAGAGGAAAACACTTTCTTCAGGTATAATGAGCCTTAAATTAGCAGTTTAATGATCTCTGTAATTCTCTGAATTCAAGAAAGGCATGTGGTATCCAGCTGGCCAAACGAGATTTTGACTATGTGCCACAACAAATGTAGACTCTCATTTAATGTCTGTGGAACCAGACCAAAACATGAATACAGATTTCACAGCAATTGAGTGAAAAACACTTGTTTGGTTTCAGGTCATTGAGCTGATCTTTCACATGTTGCAGCTGACAATCAGATGCCTTTTCAGCTGTCAGAACGTGACCTTATTCTCTGCCCAATCTGGTCCTTACTGAATGGCGACTGAGATGCTGAAATTCACCTATTTTCTGACTTTCTGCTGTAAGTGAACTGTAACTGGGATTTAGTAATTGGGAGTAGAGGTGTTTTTACCTCAAGAGAGAAGGAAAATGTGCTTGCCATACAAAGATAATCATTGGATTAAATGAATAAAAATACCACAGGAGAAACTTCCAGATTGGTGAATATGTTAAGAACATGAAGTCATAAATTAAATCTGGGGGTTTTTTTTGCCTTTGGTGGTTTTATTTTAACAGAGTTCTAATTTAGGAAAGTAAAAACTGGATGTAAAGTTCCCACTGGCACACGTTCTGTCTGCTCACACTGAGAACATGAAGTAATTTTAAATGATACCTTTTCTGTTGCTCATAATGCATTGCCACATGAGAGGACTGGTCCACAATTCTGTCCCCTCAAGAGCCAGATGTCCCTATTTATTTTCTCAGAATATTACTTTCCATTTTTCCTCTTCATTTTCAGAGAGCTGAAAGAGAAAAGAAAGGAACATCAACTCTTGCACTTCACAATACATTGTCTTCATGAACATGTATTTCTTACACTGTGTTTTAGACTGTCCTTTACTTACCAACTCAATAAAAACTGGCAGATGCAAACAACTCTGTGCTTCAGTGTAATAGCATAAGAAAAATATGTTCATTATGAAAATATTGTGCAACTTAATAAAAGGATGCACTTACCATGAGCTTAACTTTGTAGATGGAGAAACGACTTTGTTACATGAGCCAGGCGGATCAGACTGCCTAATCTTTAGGGCATCCAAGGACATCATACGCAGCAGCCACTGGCACTGGATGGGAGATGGTTCCATGTCTGGTTGCTTTCTTTGTGAAGCTATCTTGAAAATGAAGAGATTTCTTTTGCTTTTTTATCACCATCTTGCAAAAGGCACAGATGCAGCCATTGGCAGGATTTCCCTCTCAGTATTGTTCCATTAATGTAAGAGTGAATTTTGGATGTATTTCATTTTCTTTCAGATTTCCTGTCTTTTAGGCTTACTTAAATCCTAATCTAACCAATTTCCAGAAGCAGACAACAGGAATGAAAAGAGCAATACTGCCTCTTATTTCCCAGGATTTTTCTATTCTGCTTACTTGTGTTCATCCTCTGGGTTTCTTCAGGAAGAATCACCAGTGTTTCAGCTAAAGACAGATCTTCTAAACCCAGAGATGCTTAAGTGACATATTTCCTCTGAACATGACAAGTCAGAATGTTAGAACTAACTAACCACATAGAAAAAATTTTCCCCTCTCACTTCACAGGTCTGTATTGACCAACAAAATGTCTTGAGTAAATGTGTACTGGGAGAAGTCTGAAGAAATAAGAGCAATCAAACAAACACGATGAACTGAAAGCATCCATAGCCGTACAGATCTGGTCCCTGTTACCAAGCTTATATAGAACTGTCCACTCACTACCTGCATGGCAAGATCAACATCACAGTTAGGGTTACACTAACAATATGGAGAGGAACTTATTAAACTGAACATGCTTACCTGCCCCTGGCTACTACCCAGGCAGCATGTCAGCCACCCACACCAGCAGGATGCCTGCACCCATGCAGAGACAAACAGGCACCTATGCCAAATTCATCTATTTTCAGTCACAGAGTTGACCTACCCTGTTAACTACACCCAGAAAGGTTTGTGCATTCAAGTGATACAGAGCTAAACTCAGGGAAATTTGATTTTGTAGCATAGCTACGAATAAAACAAAACAAGTAGGGTAGAGACCAAATAAGAGGCTGTCATCCTGACGGGGAAGAAGAAAACAGCCTCTGGCTGTAAAGAAGTGGACTTGTGCAAACACACAGAGTTGGCTATTCCATCTCCTAAGTTAATAGTTTAAGGATGGCAGAACATCTTTCTTGGTCAAAAGGAATCAAATGCAGAGGAGTTTTCTGAAGAACAAGCTCCAGGGACTGTGCAACATGTGCAGGAGGTCAGGACACAGTTTTCAGGGATAGGAGGAACACCACCAGCAGAACAGAGACTGACTTTGCATTGTCCCTTCCACCTCAGCGCTCTGTAACCACATTGAAAATAGCTGTGTACAACTGTATCTGAGTTGAAATTTCACTTCTCAACACCAAAAAAACAGTGATTAACTTCCATGAAGAAGACAAAACTCTTTGGCTTATTTATAAGCCTAGATTTATTTGGATCTTGTGAAAATACAGCCAAAACATCACTATGCCCATCTTTCTACGCATCTTCTTTAGAGCCTGCCTTTGCTGGACTGTCTACCCTTCCTCTCTGCTTGACTCTTTCCTCACATTACATTGTGAGGTCATTAATAGCCATGGAAAAATGCTTTCACAATTATTTAGTGATCAGTATCCTTCTCAAATTTGATTTAGGCTCTTAATCAGTTAAGAATCAGAATGTCAATGACACTAGAGCCACAAAATTGCCTGTAACAGTTCTAGGAGTTTGCTCTTCCAGAAAGTTCTTGGATATCTCTGGTGTGTAGAACACAGAGAAACATGAAAATTTATAACTTACAACTGTTTCAAATATTGTATAAACAAGCCTGAGTCAGGCAGTGCTGCATTTTATCTTGCTTGGGATAAGTATAGAGCAGTTGATTGAATTCATAGAACCACAGAATGGTTTGGGTTGGAAAGGGCCTTAAGATCATCCAGTTCCAACCCCCTGCCATGGGCAGGGACACCTCACACTAAACCGTATCACTCAAGGCTCTGTCCAACCTGGCCTTGAACTCTGCCAGGGATGGAGCATTCACAGCTTCCCTGGGCAACCCATTCCAGTGCCTCACCACCCTCACATTAAAGAACTTCCTCTTTATATCTAACCTGAACTTCCCCTGTTTAAGTTTGAACCCAACACCCCTTGTCCTATCACTGCAGTCCCTGATGAAAAGTCCCTCTCCAGCATCCTTGTAGGGAATTCAGTTAAGTTGAATTAATTAACTTAAAGTGAAGGAGATGATTGAAAATTCAAATTTCAGAACATAGAATGGAAAACCCGTGCTATTCACTTAGCAGCTTGGTCAAGTGGCACATATTGAAAGCAAGTGGGTACATGTATCTCCATTCCCTCAAACAGGAATCTATTTGTCAGCTCACTTCCTGGTTCAGTGATATATAAAATGCCTTTATATTTTCCCACAGGAACTTGGAAAAGAAAACACTCAGCATTAAAACAACCCTCACACATGCCGCTCTCCAGTGTACAATACAAAATAAAAGTGCACAAAATGAAAGTTCCTCTGGTTAGAACAGAGACGCTTCTTGGGAAGGAGGAGACACAGCTTCCCAAGGGATATGACAGAATCAGGATTCAAATATCCCTGAAGCAGTACTGCTGGGGGAATTGGATGAAGTTGGGTGATTGTGCTTTATTGTGAGGCGTCCCTTCCCATGGCAGGGGGTTGGAACTGGATGATCTTAAGGTCCTTTCCAACCCTAACTGTTCTATGATTCTAACACACTTGTGTTGATATCTGGGCTAGGCACAACTCTGGGAGGATGCATGGGTGTCCAGCATGGAGGAATGGACAAAGAAAAGCTAGTTGAAAATATAAAACGAAGGATAATCCAGTGGCTATGGCTTTTTCTTTAGATTCCACTAATAATACTGGGTCTAGTCGTCTCAGAGTAAACTTCAAAATATACATAGTAGTGATGTAAAGCCTTTAAATATCCTGTTGGATGCAATGTTTCCTTCTAGTGGTCAGGGCACCAAACCTGACAGAGATTAAGGACTGTCTGGATGATGCTCTTAGTCGTATGATTTAGTTTTAGATAGTCCTGTGAGCAGCAGAGAGTTGGACTCGATGATCCTTATGAGTCCTTTCCAACTTGAGGTGTTATGTGATTCCGTAATTCTTTTCCAGCCATCAGTCCTTGCCCAATATGAATGTCACTTATAAATAATTTTGGTTATTTCAGATCTATTTGCCAAAAAAAAAAAAAAAAAATCACTCATGAGAAATTCCGTCCAGATCAGGATTCCTATAAATCCCCTGTTTGGATTCATGTCTAGTTTAAATCAGATCCATTCCATTTCAGTTAAAGAAATCAACTGTCAGTTCTGCTACATTTTAGATGAGTAACATATAAATAATAACCTATATGCAAGCCCCTAATGGAAGAAGAGCTATAAACTATTCATGGGTTATCTGTAGATGGGCAGATATACTTCTGGAAAGCATACAGGGGGTCTATAGATCATACAGACACTCTGACCTGAAATCCCCTCTAAAGACATTACCACTGCCACAGTTCACCACTGACCAGCCACTGAAAGGCTGTCGTGAGTTGGAAGACAGTGATGGATAAATTGCTTTCTTCATATGCTTTGCTCAGAGTATTCCTGATATATCACAGCTTGTGCAAGACTTCCAGTGAAGGCTTGCAGGCAAGCAAACAGCAATCATTTAAAGCTGTCAGGAAGAGAATCAGCTATAAGCAGAGACAGCTGCCTGCAGCATCGCACCCAAGAAAACATTCGGGTCCTTGCGGTACTTGCTGGAAATCCAGACAATGCCCCTGTCCAAAAGCAATTACTTGCTACTGACCACAGGAAACTTAACACCAAAAAAATGGACAAACCAAATTAAACCATGAAAAAAACCCACACTGAGGGATGTGGAAAAATACAGAGAAAAAAATAGAGGAAACAGGAAAACAGTGAAAAGAAGTGGGTTAAAGTATTATAAGTGGTTTATAACACCAAGGAATTTAGGATTTATGTTTTGTGGTGCTGAGGATTCTCCTGAAGGCACCATCCTAGATACAGAATTTTATCTACACACTAGCTTCATTTCCCTTTTGCTGCCATGGCCATGTCCCCATTTATAGGTATGAGAAACTGGGAAAACACAGACAAGTGCAACATCATGACTCAGGGGTGATATTCCTGTTACCTGATGCACCATTTGGATCCTTCAAACAATGAAAAACTATAACATTTTTTGGACCAGAGATGCATTTCAGATTTCAGACTGCCTTTATCACATAAACCAACATAATCAGAATTAAAGAGGCACACTTTTGTCAATTTATTCTTTTGTAAAACAAAAACCAAACTCTGCTTGCTTAATCTTGTTGTCTCTCCAAATCCTGCCTCAATCTCTTCCTTAGACCATCACTGTAATAACAGTGTTGTTGCTGCTATTTAAAATGTCCACCGAGTCAGCACACCGACACTTGGAAAGGTGTCTATTCAGGATGGTTTATAACTGACACTGTTTTTACAAGATGCTGAATGGCACTTCCTTCTTTAAGATACCAGATTGCTGAATCTTCCTTCTTTCTGTTCACTACCTGAACATGCACATTTTCTTCTTTGTTTGGGGATGAAGATAAAGAGGCCTTTACATTACCTATTGTGCTGCAATGGGTAAACGTCAGTTAAAAACCTGCATGGTAATTCAAACCTTGAAAGAATTGTTCTTTCCAAGTGCTCTGAATATTGCTCTTATCCTTATGAGCAAGGAGCCTACCTGAGAACAAGTCTGCAGTTTCCACATGGGACATGTAGCCGGCTTAATGGCATAATGGCGAGTCACTGGCTTAATGAATGAAACTCACAAGTCCCCTCTGCCAAGACCTTTGTTCTGATAGACATAGGATGAGGGAGTGCTTGAGGTTGGAGTGCACCTCTGGAGACCACCTACCCCAGCTCAGCAGGGTTAACTACATCCTCAGAGCTTCATCCACTCAGGTGTTCAATACATCTGAGTACGGAGACTCCAGTGCCTCTGTTCCACCACTCACACAGGGACTGGACGCTGACACAAAGACTGCATAATCATTGACTTTCACAGCTGACCAGAGAAGCAAAGGCAAGAAAACTCATAAAATATGTATGACTTAAACCACAGCATGACTTGCAGTTTAGTACAATACAGTCCCTACCTAGTAATGCCCCAGAAATTGCTGAAACCAGAGCATATGCTCTAGTATATGTTTTATATACTATAAAATATATGTTTTATAAAACAATCTATTGTTTTAATGTGACCTTCTGATTCAAAGTTCACATGAAGACTATCCATTTCATGGCTTCACTCTAATAAAAATTCAATGAAATAATGTTTTTAACTATAAATCTCCATTTTCCTGCTCGCTTTTATAAGCTAAGTAGGAAATACAAGCTGCATCCTGCAACAGTGCTTTAAAGAACCCCAGAGGCTGCTAGCTAAATCACTGCTCACTTTAAATATTCTGGTATATTCAGCAAGAACTAGATAACAGTTTGTATTTCTTTAATACCTGATCAAAAAATGAACTAGAATTTGCTGTTTACCCAAGAGTCACCCTATAGTGACCCTAAGTCACTATAAGAGTGACCCTATAGTCACTGCTATAGTATTTATCATCTTAGGATCACGCTGATAAAACTCACCACAAGTCATTTAGAACAGAACACAACCCCATCAACAGAAACTCTGACTTTTTGACTCATGCTAGTTAAATGTCTGCTATGGGAAAAGTTTTGTTATTGCTTCAGAGAACAGCTACACCATCCTTTGAGTGAGAAAAGTAGTATGAGCAGATACATGCTGCAGTGGTTCTGACACAGAGTGAGGTTCCCATCACTTCAGAACAGTAAGCAGTGATGGGAATATCATCTGCTCTGCACCATGTGTGGTGCCACTCACAAGTAAGGAAAATCGATTTCTTACTATTTGGGTTCACAGAATATAGCCTAAAAATGTTCAAACGATATTTAGACACAAACACTTCCATATGAGAATTCCCTGGCCCTGTTCTGGGATTTCACTAAGGGAAATGTAGCTTTTTGATGCACCACATGTGCAGTATATTGGAAAATACATAAGCAGAAATAAGTTTTATAGAGAAATATATGTGAGAAATATAGGCATACACTTTACTTACCATAGACAAAGTGTGGAATATTCTTCACCCCATTGTAACACTGCAAACGCATGAAAGAATTTGAAATGTGCCAGTGAACAGCAGGATTTTGCCCATTCTGTGCCGTGTTTTTACTTACACTGTGAAGAAAGGTGAAAAGAGCAATCTTTCTACTCAATTCGTTTTGAACACAAACTCCATCGCGTTCACCTAGCTGAAACATAACTTAGGTTAATGGTGCCACCTGGTGACAAGACTTACTCGCTGTTCCCATACCTTGGGAAGCAAACGAAACTCATATGCTCTAAACCTTCCCCTCGAGAGTAACCCCCTAAAAAGCCTGCATCACCTCCAGCACTTACTTGCCCTAAGGAGCACAGTGTACTGGACACAGAGAAAGAACGATGAGCAATAGGAAAGAAAATATCTTACAGGCTTCCACTGTAGACACTACCACACACTTTGAGTTACTAGCTTGTAAGAGAATGCATTTAATAGCACACAAACAGGGAGAAACGACAGTGATTTATCTCAGCCTGCTGGTGATGGGGGAGCAGAGCATTTTGTCTAGCTCAAAAACTTCCTATTCACTGTGATGATGTGTAAGACTTTGCTACCACCTACCAGGATTTTACTACTCCTATGACTGCAGCCCCTAAACAAAACCCATGTGCTCTTTACACCTTACCTGTCAGTGATGAGAAATTAACTCTAAGGCCATAAATTGCTTTGTGCATCTCTCCCTGCTCAATATGATTGCAAAAAACTTAAGGGAACGTTCCTTTTGTGGGGTTAGATTCCCAGACTGTTTCCTCAAGCTAAATCAGGATTCACACTGCAGGTACCTGCTAGGGGAAGTATCTGGAGTGAGGAGGGAACAAGCATTGGCCATGCCAAGCAGGGCTGGATTCCTTCCTCAAACAGAGGCAAGGTCAGGAGATGGAGTGCAGGAAAGACGTGAAGCCCATTTGGTATCTGCCAAGGCATACAACCAACCTATATTATATTACTATGTAATACATATAATTATATTTTTATATATATATAATGTAATATATATGTAATATATATAATTATATATATTAATAATAATATATAATTATACTACTTTCTGTCACATGTATAAAATAGCAAAAAAATGTGTATGTGGATAGTTTAAAAAAAGCTACTATTTAAAGAGGTGCTTGGAGGAGAGTAAAAAAAATGGAGATAGGAGCTTGTATTTTGCAGGAGATGCTTGGTCATAGAGAAAGACAAACTCAACAACATTTCACCCAACTTAGAGTCCTTATAATAGTTGTACAATAAAATAGTTGTACAATAGACAGGATTTGGGTCATGGATCATATTGATGATTTCTCTACAGCTTTGCTCATATGCAAAATACAAATTCCCAATAATTGCAGCACAACCACCAGTTTAATTACATGACAATAACAGTTACACGTGAAACCATTTAGTCATTTAGGAGTCTCACTGCAGCTTTCCTCCTACCCAGCTCTCAGAGTATCCTATTTAGCACTTGTAGCTGCAGCACAAATGCTGACTGGTCCCTCCCATTTATATAAAAGAGGACATTAAATAGCACAAAGCTTATTTAAAGGTAGTATACTTGCTTCATAGCTCTCCATGCTCACACAAGATTTGCTGATTTTTGTTAAACTCATCATTTTGGAAGGGTACATTAAAGTACTGGTCAACTTCAAACGTATTCATGTGTTCCTGGAAAGAGGAAAAGTGCATCACTTCACCCAGAACCCTTTACAGACAGGGATTTCCCTTCTATGGAACCTGATTAGGGACCTCCTTAATTTAACAAAAAAGTAATATCTCAGCTGAATGATGGATATTGTTCTCTTAGAAGCCCACTTCACATAAGACAGTCACATGCTGCACATGCAAATTATACAAGTATCCATATGCTTCATTTATACAACTATTTAACCAAACTGGCACAATAAATACATCTAGTTAGATACTTGCAGTAAGTGTGCAGCTGTCTGGAAGGAGGTACAAAATCACCATCATGAAATCCAAACTGCAGCTGGCATTAATCAAAGCTTTGCCCTTGAACATTCATCACTGTGATATTGCTGTGACAAAGTGGACTTTTACTGCCGTTTGGGATGGGAAGATTTTACTTCCTTAAATAATTCAAGTTCTCTAGTGGTGCAGATGCTGTGAAAAAGGCAGTTTTCATGTTTGCTCTCAACACAGCAAATAAGCAGCGGAAAGACCGTCAGAATGTTATAGAACACTAAAAATGCTGCATATTTAAAGACAAACTTTCACACGGTATGTAGGAAATCACTATTGAAAGTATTTGTCTTGAATGGAAATCACACATTTCTCAGATCAATGAACTGGAGAAAATGCAGTCAGAAAAGATCTGATTGTTTGGTCACATGAAGGTTTTTACAGTAATGAAAAAGTGGCGTAGAAACAGCTTTAGTCGAGATGAGGTTCCATGTCTAAAGATGTGCCATTCACTACATCCTTTGACCAGCAAAGACCATTTGGGTTGGAAGGGACCATTAAAGGCCATCTAGTCCAACCACCTTGCAATAAGCAGGGACACCTTCAAATAGATTAGGTTGCTCAGAACCCCATCCAACCCGACCTTGAATGCTTACAGGGATGGGGCAGCCACCACCTCTCTGGGCAACCTGTGCCAGTGTTTTGACACTCTGATTATAAAATATGTTTTCCTTATATCTAGTCTGAATCTCCCCTCTTTCACCTTAAAAACAATGCCCCTTGTCCTATCATTACAGGCACTACTAAAAAATCTGTCCCCATCTTTCTTATAAGCCCCCTTCAGATATTCAAAGATCACCATGAAGTCTCCCTGGAGCCCTCTTTTCTCCAGGCAGAACCAAGCCCAGGTCTCTCAGCCTGTCTCCGTACGAGAGGTGCTCCAGCCCCCGGAGCATCTTCATGGCCTCATCTAGACCTACTCCAATGGGTCCATGTCTTTCTTCTACCAAGGACACCAGAGCTGGATGTAGGACTGCAGGTGGGATCACACCAGGTGGAGCAGAGGGGCAGAATCACAACCCTTCATCTGTTGGCCACGCTCCTTTTGATGCAGCCCATCATACGGCTGGCTTCCTGGGCTGCATCAAGACTTCACTTAAGACTATGAGTCATCACTCCTTTCAAAGATGAATGACAACTTTCCAAAGATTTCAGTTTTCATGTAGTTGCAAATAAAATATGAGCCTTATTCTGTATACATTGACTATAAGTTAACCAGTGCTCTTTCAGAGGCAACATGGTCTTTGTCCCTAGAGGCTAACAGGCCAGTGGATCTACCTGGATCCACTAAAGTCAAATCTTGCCACAGGAACGAGGTTTTGGGTGACTGCTATCATGCATGTTAGGCTGGACGAACGATACACCTAAATAAGATCAGTAGGTACAACCTGCAGCAACTGAAGGTATATTCTGACAAAGCTTCTGAGGTATCCCCCAACACCCTTAGTCATAAATTATGCCATGTAAATCACACGTGCTTGGGATCATCTTTTAGGACTGAGCTTGGATTCATACTTCTGAACTCTTTTAGCCTCCAGAACAGAGCAGCCACATACACTGATTTCTGGGGATGATCCCTGGGCTGTCAATCTTTAGAGAGAATGTTGGTTGGATGGGGCAAATCCTTGTCAGGAATCATTCAAGCAATTTTATAGTATCAATGAGTAAATCCTCCTGTACGGAAACATGCCTGTTACCAGGGTAATTCACTAATAAAGACGTTTCTCAGCTGTCAGTGTGTTCTCGAAGAGCAGTTTATTGGATGGTGAGAGTGCGCACATGGGCAGTTCACTGACTTGCTGGAAATCCATACTCCTTTAATTTGAATAGACTATCTGGTTTTAATTTTGTATTCCCTTTAAAATACTGATCATTACTGAATTAGAATCCACGAAGCCTGTTTATTCCATCATAATCACTCAGACTGCATGCTATGAGCATGCATCCCCCAAAGCAAGACTGGCAGTAAAAAGTCCCATAGATGGCAGCTCCATCCACAGATAGACATAGATTTGTCCAAACTGTAAGAAAAATACTTACCAGTAATTAAAAGATTTTTTAAATAAGAATTTCTCATGAACAATGCAAAAATCCACATAAATATGAATAGTCTGTACACCAATAAAACCTCATTGTTCTCTCTTGTTTTCATATGTTTCAATTTCTAATTACTGCCTGACATTCTCTGACCCACTCTTGCTCTCCGTGGATCTCATATCCCATCTTCCACAATGAAGATAACAAAACTGAACAAGTATAGGGCCTCAAACTGGATCTAAATGTTCTCCAAGAGAATGAAGTCAGACAGTGCTTTCCATTATAACTTAAGCCTGACTGCCTAAATCCAGATGATCTCATGGTATATGATGTAAGCTCTGGATTCCTCAGTTAAGCTCTGTGTTCAGTCACAAGTGTCCTGCGAGGTCTTGGGTCAGTCACTAAAGCCTTTGTTCGGATGAGCTGGGTTTTACAATCAGTAAACAAAGTCCCAGCAGAGCCATGGGACTTCTCGGGAGGCTTCTGTGCTATTTAGATAAGGACATTAGATGTCTCATTCTCAGCAGGCACACGGACTGGGATGCTGCTGAGGCCTCAAATGGAAACACTGAACTGTAGCCAGATGCAGGGTTAGGAAGCACTGTACACAGACAGTGTTCTTTATGATGAAATGGGGAATATTACTTATATCCCTGTTCCAGAGGAGGGCTGTGAATGTGTGGTCTTTAAAATAAAGATGCAACCCTCTTTAAGACCATCTAAGTCTCCCAGGTTGGTTGTCCTTGTGGCAAACTCAGGTATAAACTCTCAAAAGACAAAGTTCACCTCACACATCACATCCATTTTAGAATGTTTTATACATCTCGTGTTATGAGCAAAAACTAACAGTCTAAAAGGGCTCTCTAATTCCTCATCTAATGAGACTCTTCACAGAAAAGCAGCTGGAGCTCTTGCTCATAAACACCTTGCTACAATTATAAGCTAAGCAAAAGAATTGGGCTTTCTAATCACAATAAACTACCAAGTGGAATGTGTGATAAAATCTAACAACATCTCTCTATATTGCATTGTGTTAATACAAGCCTTTTAAATGACCATCTCCTGCAAAATGCCACGCAGCTAAGTGAAGAGTGCCTTTCTCAGGTTAAGCAGCACCTACATTGCTGCAATTATTGTGCCTTTGGAAAGTCTGTCCTGATTCCATCCCCATTCAAAGACGGGAAGAGAAATCATGTCAGCATTACAGCAAGTTTTGTGTGATCGTCCTCAAGTGCATTTAGTGAGCAGTGGAAACAGGCAGGCAAAAGAGCTCCAAATAAACACACACAGCACTTTGCACAATCATAGTGCCTCTCACCCAAGGGCTTCGGTGCATTTGGTAAATATTAATTAACTCACACGCTGCTGCTTTGAAGTAGGCAAGGGATGGATGTATTTAAGTATCACTTTGTTTGCTACTGAAATGCATTCCCGCTTTCCACTCTTGAGCGGGATGTAGCAGCTGCTTAACAACACACATTAATATTAAATAAGAGTTTTAGAGAAGCAGCAAGGCATACTTAATCCAAAAGAAACCCCAGAGGGATTTACACAGGCAGAAAGCAATTACTTAAAGCAATGGCTCCCAAACTCCCTGGGTGATTTTGTTCTCCTTCATTTAAATCTGCTGTGGA